TGCAAACTCCTCTTTTTCCTTCACATAGAAACCTTATACATACTGATGTCTTCTGGAAAAACAGAGATGAGTTTAAGCATTATCAGGGCAGCAAATTATGACATAAACAACAGGATTTAGGATTACTATTGAAATATGAGGTCTTACAGACTCCTTTGCACAAATAATACAAATAAGCAAATTATAGACAGGAAAATAGCTCAGGATAATCAGAGTTCTCTCTCTACTGACCAGGAGAGTAATGCTGATATTCACTGAGTGTTCCCAATTCAATAGTTTATCGTATCAGGTTCTTTTAAATAGATTTTATGACACAGAGTGGTGTCTTTTCCCCTGTAGCTCCATAGGGAGAACACATCTCCTCCATATTTTTAAAAGATTCCTTTTTACTACTATTAGGTGGGTCTGCATCCTTAAGAATTTTACTTGTTTGCGTGATGACAAAACAGGACTGAAAAGCTCAATACATAAGGAAATGGAAAATGGAGTCAACAATTTTTGAAGTTAAAATGTTAATAAAGAGCATATAATGTTTTATAGTCATTGCCACTCCTGTCATTGCCTGCCCTTTCATTGTCACCTCTTCTGCCTCATGATCCACAGTTGGAACCCCTTAAATAATCAATGTGGCATGTAAATCAAGGAACAGTACATACATAGCTTAGAAGATGTAAGCATAAATGTTAAGATGTTGCTTAGAGATCCATAGTTACTGAGCCAGCTTGGGAATGAGCTGTGTGGTGATGTTAAGTATCACTAACCATCACATTCAGTCCTGGAGCTGGCCAGAAACCAGAGTCTGCTCATTACCTTCCATCCCACCAAAATCCAGCCTCACAATGTTGCCACTGCTGAGGAGTATGGAAAGGAGTCACGAGCTAATCACTTAGAAAAATTCATAGTAATCTCTTTTGTATGCATAGTGCCTTACGGTTTACAAAGCAATTTTCCAGCTTTTATTTCAGTTTTGTGAGAAACAGGTAGAAAGACACTAATTTATTTACTACACTGACACTGAATATACTTTGTCTCATTTCATAAAAACTTACTCCCTCCATTTACAGATGAGATGGGTAG